CCCACAGGGGTCCTAGAGGCGATCCCGGGATCCCAGCTGGTGTCAGGAACCCCGCGCGCCAATCGAAATCTGGAACCTTTCAGCGCCGCACAGCAACGTGCTTCGACCTCCGCACCTTCGCGGAGGCGCGCGGGAGACCCGAGAGCAGACGTACTGCCCCCAAGGCGCTTCCCGGGACCGCCACGAAACGGCCCCGGCTAACCCCGGGCTGCCTCGGACGGACGACGCGGAGAGGGGAGAAGTTGGGAAGGAGCTGGCAGACAGGAACGTTAAAGGCAAACCTCGAGGGTGGTCTCAGTTCTGCTCAGCTGAGCTGGTTCCCTCTTCGCGCTTCCCATCCTCTGCAGCCAGATGAGCTGTAGCCATTCGATGCCCTATACATTCTTTTCAGTCAAGTCAGTTTCCCCACAAATCCTGCCATTGACGAGCTTCTGGGGCATGGAAGTGACCGTATCACAGAAATAGTTTGTCTGAAAACATTCTTACACAAGTTGTCACTGTGCTGGGTGCTAAGTGTGCAGTAAGGAAGACAGGCAATTGCTTTCATTTTCCAGGTATATCTCCCTGCCCCACAACCCAAAGCTCCAGTAACCAGAAATGTTTTCAGAGTAATTGCCCCTGAATTATCCATACACAGTTCCTTACATTTGCATGTGGCATTGTTTTATACTTGTACTTTGTGCTGTTTCCTTAGCTTAATGTTTTCTCTTTACAGTCTTTCCTTTTAGCTGTTAATAATCCTTGCCTTTCAAATTCCATTTCTTTATTTCCATTAGTTAACTTGCTTGGTTCCTTCTGATTCTAATTTAAAAACAAACAAACAGCAACAACAAAGCACATAATCCCCACTCAAAACAATGGAACCATAAGGCTCTATAGCAGCAGCAGATTTGGGTAATAAAGTCAATTTGAACCATATGACCACTAAATTCTCTGAGCAGAAAGGAGAGAAGTCTGTTATAATTTGCCCCTAAGTCTACACTTACTTGCACACTTTATTATAATGCAAAAACATGTGTAAACTTCTTGGCAGTGTCTTGCCATGATGCCCAATCTGCCTACCTTCTTAATAGAGCAGTGAGAGACATGAGATACCCGTGAAATATGAAACTACCAGGAATAAGTAAGAAAGCTTAGAACGGCTCGCTTGGGGGGGGGGG